TGTTTCATGAGATACACATAGCCATATCTACTGAGGTCATCAGTAAAAGTGATGAAGTATGAATAACCACCTCGTGCAGTTGTATTGAAAGGCCCGCACACATCACTATGAATGAGTGCCAGAAGATCACCAGCTCTTTCACCGTGTCCGGTGAAAGGAGATTTGGTCATCTTACCCAATAAACAAGATTCGCATGTGTCATATGATTCAAGATCAAATGACTCTAGCATTCCCGACCGATGTAGCTTGGATATGCGTTTCTCGTTTATATGGCGTAACCTACAATGCCATAGGTATGTTTGGTTCAAACCGTTCGGTTTGTTCCTCTTGGCTGAAATGTTATAGACAGGCATGTCCAAGTCAAGGACATATAACCCATTGGTCATGTTGGAATTAGCATAGAAAACATTCTTTCTGTAAACGGAAAGGGACTTGTCTTTAATAGAAATGATGAAACCACTCTTATCAAGACATGAAACACAAATAATGTTTCTGCTAATTGCAGGAATGTACAAGCAATCGTTTAATTCCAACATTAGACCACTAGGCAAGACTAAACTATAAGTTCCGATTGCCAAAGCTGCAACAGGTGCACCATTGCCGACTCGGAGTTCAATCTCGCCTCGAGTTAACCGTCTACTCTGCTTCAGTCCCTGCATGGTAGTACAGATATGAGACCCACATCCAGTATCTAGTACCCATGATGAAGATATAGACATGTTAACTTCTATAACATACACCTCAGAAGAAATGGTCGTACCTTGCTTCTTCTTGGTTGCGAGGTATGTCTTGCAGTTTCTTCTCCAGTGGCCTGCCTTACCACAGTGATGACATTTTCCCTTTGCAACTCCTCCTATGGGTTTCTGGGTTGCAGATGAAGTGGACTTTGATTTAGGCTTTCCGACCGTCCTAGCCTTAATCTTAATCGCCTTCTTTGGCTTCCCCTTTCCGCCTTGGACCATAAGGACGGAAGCACCCTTGCCCTTAGTAACATTCTCCTCTGCAGTCTGGAGCATTTTAAGAAGCTCTGGAAGGGGTTTGTCAAGATCATGCATCATGTAGTTCATGACAAAACCCTTATACAGCTCAGGGAGCGACTGCAGGATCAGGTACGTTGCCAGCTCCTTCTATAAGGAGAACCCGAGTTTCTCCAGATTGGTTATGTAACCAATCATTTTGAGAACGTGCGGACCGACCGGGTTCCCAGAAGAGAGCTTGCAACTAAAGAGAGCCTTACTCATGAGAAAATGTTCATGGCTGGATTGCCCCTGGTATTGCTGCCGCAAGGCCACGATCATCTCGTGGGCCTTCATGTCCTCGTGCTGTTTTTGCAGCTCGGTTATCATGGTAGCCAGCATGACACAGCTAACCTGGTTGTCATCCTTAACGTGTTTCTCGTAGGCATCTTTGACCGCTTTCGGGGCGTTAGCGGGAGGGGCAGGAGGAATGGGCTTTTCGAGCACATACTCTTTCTCATCCATGTGGAGAACAATGTAGAGATTGCGTTGCCAGTCAACAAAGTTTGTTCCGTTCAATTTATCTTTATCCAGAATGGAACGCAGGGCGAGGTTGTTTGTGTTGTTGTTTGCCATCTACAGAATTTTGCGAAGATAGTTATTATCATGAATTAAGTATCTAATAGTTAGATATGTTTGTTTTACCAAGTTTAAGAATAATGGTGTCAAGCTAATGATGTTAAATTAGCGCTTAACGGGAGGCAACCCGTCATAATAATAATAATAATAATAATAATAATAATAATAATAATAATAATAATAATAATAATAATAATAATAATAATAATAATAATAATAATGATGATGATGATGATAATGATAATGATAATGATGATGATGATGATGATAATAATAATAATAATAATAATAATAATAATAATAATAAAATTAGTAATAGTTCTTGTTCACACTTTCACACACTATGCACTTGTTGTTTTTCCTTTGTTTTGTTGTTTTCTTTTCTTTTGCAGGGAAAACGAACGGAAGCCATCACAATGAGCCTTGCCAGTTTTCGCACTCAAAAAGTGTTTTAACGCATAAAATAATTTTCTATTAAAAATAGCTTTTTATTTCTAATATTGGCCAAATTTTTAACCTTTTATGTTCATTAAAATTTTGCCTCTCATCATATGCTTCACACTAAGTGTGAGGAAGATTGACATACTTTGATTTTTCTACTTGGATTCCGCATTTGGACCTTGAGGGCGAGGTCCAACTTAAGTGTGAGGAGGTAGAATATCAGGTATGATTATATTCTAGAAAATTATTTTCTCTATCAATAATCAGTTTATGAATTTAGTTTTCAATTACTTTACATTTTTCTTTTTTTCTCTAATAAATTAAATAATCATTTACTCGTTTCTAAGTTTAACAATGAACTTTTATTTAAAATTGTGCATGAGTTGTGTTTTAATTGAGTAACTTAAGGTTGTTAATTATATAACGATTATAAGTCTTTTGGTCACTTTCTCTTTAATTGAAATAAATAAACAAAGATAATTGTGAGGGTTGCGCTTTAGTGACGAATTGGGAATCCTATCTCCGATAGGAGCTCTGCTTCTCCCGTGAATCGCATAAGGCGAGGGAGCAAGTATGCATATGTAATGGGATAAACCCACAACCCAAACAATTGTTCCAATTGTTTGCGCTTATGTGCTACATTGAGTATCCTATCTCCTTTGGAGCTCTGCCCTTCTATTATTATTAAAAGAAAAAAAAATCAATTCATAAGCAATAAAAAGGGCATTATAGGATAACTCACAAAAAAACAAACAAAAAACAAAAAAAAAACAATAAATAAATAAATAAATATAAGTTAATGAATTGAGATAAGTGGACCAAGAGACTACAAATCGTTATTAATTACTGGCCTTAGGAGATCTTGGAAGAAAAACTTACTCACGCAAACTTTTAAATAAGTTCATTGTTAAATTTTTTGAAAAGAGTGATGAGAAATTTAGTTGTTAGAATATAAAGAAAAAGATGAAGTAATTAATGCTAATGAAATTAACTAATTATTGCAACGAAGTATGATCTTTGAATATAATCAAACAATTTTCTTCATTCTTGTGTTGGTAGATGATGAGTTGTTTGAGGACAAGCAACGTTTAAGTGTGAGGAGATTGATAAGTCCGTTTTGTACTTATCTTTTTACTCATATTTAATTTGTTCTTGTACCATTTTTATTATCAAAACCATAAGTTATTTATTCTTTTTTATCAAAAACATATGTTTTGATAAATTGATTATAAACAGAATACTTTTGAAGTAATATGTAAAATTGGGCCAAGAATGGAATAAAAAGAGTAAATTTTAATAGAAAAACAATTCTATCTCACAATCAGTGCGGAATTAGAAGTCGGTGCAGAAGGAAAAAGTGTTCAGAACGAGATTTTAATCAGGATAGCATTGACGGACCAGGGCGGCACAGTAGGCGGCCTGGCCGGCGGCAGCCTACCTGGCCGCCAGTCAGGTTGGCGGCGGCGGACAACGGAATCAGCAACGGCAAGAGGGAGCGCCGGCGGGCTGGCAGGCTGCAGCCTACCTGCCCGCCTGTCGACGGCGACCAGTAGTTCGGCGAGATCTGGAGAGTTCCTCAGCAGCGGCGGCGGGCTGGCCGGCGGCCGCTGGTTTGTCCGCCGGTCGATCCTCTCCCCCTATAAATGGCAGCGACGTCCTCCCCCTTTTCCCAAGCTTCTAAAAATCGGTTTTCCCCTTTTTGGGGAAAAAATATTCATTTTTTACTTCTAAAAATTGTACTAAATTTGAGTGAATTCAATTTCATCATGGTGGTCCCAAAGTGGTGAAATACAAAGTGTAGAGGGGGGGGTGAATAGACTTTGTTACAGATTTAAAATCTTTTTCGTTTCTTTTGAAAACGTGAAAATGAGTGTTAATCTAGAGTCCTTGTGAACTTTAGATTGTGTGCGGAATTTGGTGGGTAGAGTGAGCAGTATTCAATATGGATGGGTTAGTTTTCACGGTTAATATAATTGCAAGTAAGAATAAAGATAAAAGAGAGAGACACGCAAACTTTAACGAGGTTCGAAGGTGGGGTAATCCTTTTACGTCCTCAAAATCCACTATGTAGTTGGTTGTTGAATAATGAACCAACAATTACACTTGTGTGAATTTCTGCACGGTATATCTTCACAAGACCAATGTTGCTACTGCACTCGTGCTGGCTTTGTTGTTCCTTCGAAGGTCAAGCTTCTTCAACAACTGCAAGTTCCGAACAATAGGACTTGCAAGATCAACTTGTAAGAGAGTTGACCTACCCCCTTTT